AGGCTTATGTGGTTGTTGCCAATATGGGACTTTATCCATGTTTGACACAACAAAAAGCTTATATTGAAATTGCCCTTTAATGTTGGGCAATTGAAAAATTAAGAAAAAAGGTTTTTAGTCTCTCTTTCTCTCTCTCTCTCCCCCTCTCTCTCTTTCTCATTCTTAGAGTCGTCTCTTTGTCCTCAACGACAATGTGATTTGAAAATATATAAAAATGATCTTTTGGTTTCTGTATTTACATTCTTTTTATCAAATTCTCTTATTCTCTCTCTACTGATTGTTCTCCCTCAATCTCTTTCTCTCATGCTCCCTTTCTCATTCTTTTTTTTTATTTTAATTACACACTTATATGGTATTAATTAGATCGTATAAAAGAGCATGGGACCAATTTTGTATGGTTAAAAAATCATTACACCAATTTGATAAAAATTCACAAGAAACTCTTGGCTATGAAATTTACACCAACTTGATAGAAATTATAACTTGATTGTACAAGTGGTTGGTCACTCTAGTTCTTATATACGATCTTATTAATATTGTATAAATTTGTAAGAAAAATAAAGAAAGGGAAAAAGAGGGAGTGGGAGAAAGACTAAGAGAGAACGATACACTGAGAGAGAGAGAGAGAGGTTTTGATTTGGCTACATATTGAATCTGAGAGTGGGAGAGATAAAGGGAACGAGAGATCAAGAGATGACTATGAGAGTGAGAGAGAAGGGAGGGAGATCAAAAGACAGAGGGAGTGTGAGAGAAACTGAAAACCTATTTTCAGTATAGGCTTTTTGTTGTGTCTAACATGGATTAAGAGTCCCATGTTGGAAATAGCCACATAAGCCTTCGATGACATGGCGGGGGTTTTTATAATTTGAAATGTAGAGCTGGTTGTCAAAGTTTTGTTGGTTTCTGGACCAACCTACAACCTAATTTAAAATGTACAATTGACTTTAACTATAATTTTCCATTTAAATTATATATTTCATTTATATTTTATAAAATAATTTTTGTTTGTTTATGATATCATTTAACCCAAACCACTAACCCACCACAAAAATAGTTTGATTTCTAGTTTGACAATAAATTTTGTATTACATTTCCAATATTGATAAAATTTTTTCTTATGTATACTACTTATTTTTGTTCAATATAATGAACGCATAATATTAGAGATGTACTCAATATTTTATTTTTATAAATATATAACATTAGATATGTGCCCAAAATTTTCTCTATCTTTTTTTTTTTTGTGATTCTTTGTATTTTCTATTTTTACAAATTTTATTATTTGACAATGGCGCCATTTCATTTCTAGGTAGATTTTAAATTTGGCATTTCATTTTCATCATTAATAAAAACGCTTCTTACATTTCATACTCATTTATTTTATCTTTTATTATTTAATTATGACATTATTTATTTATCCATTTGACCCCAAATGGTCGAATTGCTTGCCTACCACTAGGAGGGAAGGAAATGGTTTTGTTTGCAAATTACTTTTCAAAATATTTATTTTTATACTATTAAAAGTAATATTATGGATTTAATTACAAGAATTTAATGATGAGAAAAATATATTTTAAATATAGATTTTAATGAAAGAGAATAAGAAAACATTTTTATCCAATTTGTTTTAAATTTTACATTCCATTTCCATCATTAATAAAAACGTTTTTCTTTATCATACTTATTATTGTTTAATATGTATTTTAAAAATGTTTCCATTTTTTTTCATTTTATCAATTTTTTTAATTTTATTATTTAATCATGGCAACAACATTCCATTTCCATCATTAATAAAAACATTTCTTATTTATCATATTTATTATTGTTTAATATGTATGTTAAAAATAATTCCAATTTTTTTTATTTATATTTTTTTTCATTATTTAATCGTGGCAACATGGATTGACCCATATATTAAAAATGGTTTAATTTCTTACCACCACTTAGATGAAAACACTATTTTTTCTAGGTAGAATTTAAAAGTATAAGCTTTTATGTTATTGAAATTATTAATTTATTAAGTATGAATTTAATTAATAGAACTTAATGATGAAAAGAAACAAAAATGTTTTAAATATATGATTCAATGAACATGAATGCAAGTTAATAACTTAAATGTTGGATTTAAATAGAGGGAATTAAATACATTGAATATCTTAAAATTACCTTTTTTTCAACTCATTTAATATCAATAACCAATTACCCTATTTGCTCTCATTTTTATCAATAAATTTAAATATAGAGAGGTAAATTTTGTCCTAAAAAAATCGAGAAATATTTTTGAGGTCATTCATGCTTTTTAAAGTAGTATAGATATAGATTTTATCTTTCTTCTACCTTTCCACATCAAATGCAAAACAATTAGGGTTGTTCATGAAAATGATTAAACCGATCAATCTGACCCAATTCAATTTGAATTGGCCAGTTTTCAAATAGTGTCGGTCAATTTTGGTATCTAAATTAAGAAAACCCAATAGATTGGGTTAGTTTCAGTTTGATCGTTGTGAGCTCTAGGAAACTCATGGTCAACTCAAAGAGTTGGAGTCGCCACCCATTTTTTAGAGGAAATGGGCCTTCATTTTCAGGATTGAAAGATTCGAATTGAGTCTTTGATAGTGATTCCGTGCTTCACCAAGGAAAGCACTTAACCGAGAGATTTTGGATTTAAAGGATTAGGAGAGGGAAGGTTTTAGGCACCCCTCTCTCAAGCTGCTGTAGTAGCCCAAAATGGGAGAAGTTCAGGCTCAAATTCTGGCAAAACACTAATTAACAGGATTGCTTAAAGCTCATGAAATATGGCGAAAATGTTCCCAACTTCATACAAAATTGATTTGAGATGATGTTATTGGGTCTTAGGTATTGGTTTCCCTAAGACCATCGCCACTCTACCTCTTTTTCTCAATCTGGAGGAATCTGGGAATGCAAGTTTCCTAGTATTTTAGGGTTTTAAGTAATATGAAACTAAACTAAAAGCAAAGAGATGGTGGAATAAGAGTCATACCTCTCATGTACAACATTGAAGGAAACTTTCTAGCAACTAAAAGGAGTTGAAAGGAAACTTGAGCAAGGCAAGAGTTGGGCTGAGCCTTTCTGGTGTTAAGTTGGAAAACAGGGGATGAGACTTGAGCTTCATTTTAGAGATTTCGGGATTTCAAGCAAGATGGGTGTATCACAGAAGCTGGGAAAACTACCCCCTCTCCTTTAAGCTCAAGTTGGGCCTCTATTTATAGAGAAAATGGAGGGAGGTGGGTTTGAAACTCATCCAGCTACAATGTCTATGATTTAGTAGAGTTTTTTTTTTTACTGAAATAGGCAAGGATTTTGAGAAAGAAGAAACTGTAGTTGACCATACCTTCTTTGTGCAACAAATTTTCTCGATTTTGGGTGGTTTCTCATGGATTTTGTGCATCCAATGAGGGATTGGGGCGTGTCAGACATTGCAGCCCCTTATTTGGGGCTAATAGTGGCAAAAAACGTAAATTTGATGAAATTTTAAATGAGGTTTTGTCCTTTCTTAATTTTAAGTGGGGGCTTGTTTGGTATTTTGAGCCTTTTAAGCCTATTAGGCTCAAATCCATTGGTCTAGTTGTTTTAATGGGGTTAAGTAAGGAGCTTACRTCAGTCCCCACCCTCTTAAGATTCTAAGCTGGAAAGCTGATGTGGTAATTCAATCTGGTGCGTCAAGATGGTATTTCTTTAGTTTAACGATCAAATGGATGAATTTGGTCATGAGATTTGGCGTGTTGGGGGTTTTTTGGGTCTTTGAACACAATGGTCAGGTCTGATCGGACAAATAGGGTCGAGATAATTGAGATTTACGACTGACACGTTAAAATCAATAAGATTTACTGAAATAGAATCTTTGTTTGATGAAGGGTCAAATGGGGGAATTTTGGGATGAAATTTGGTGGGTAGGCCGTTTTGAACATCTCGAATCTGATGGAAATGATGAATCTTTGATCGGAAGTGTAGATTGACTGGTTTCTAGTTCAAATCACGATCTTAGCTTATGGTTTTCTAATCATTAAGAGTGTCTGAAATGGAATCTTGTTTTTTCAATGGTCAAATAGAAGTGTTTGGTCGTGAAATTTAATGTACTGGGGTTCTTTGGGTCCTTGAGCATGGTGGCGGGGTCTGATTGTTCAAATAAGGCTTGGATGATGGAGATTCATGACAGGTGAGCTTTTGTTTAATAAGATTCGTCAAAATAGAATCCAGGCTTGGTGTTGGGTCAAACAAGGGAATTTTGGGATAAAATTTGGTGGGTAGGTATGGATTGGGATTATGAGGTTGTTAGAAGGGTTTGATCGTGTGGGGTATGTGTAGATCACGGGTTTTAGGTTTGAGGAGCGTCATAGTGTTATATGCATCAAAATTGGATCTCTGTTGAATGATCGGCTAGATCCAGGAATTTAGGGTTGAAACTTTGCGTGATTGGTTGTCTGAGGATTTTGTTTTAGGTGATGGAGTTCGATCGGGGATGAAGTTTGGTGATGTGGCATAATCAAGACCATCGAAAGGGAATAATGTAGATTTAACGATGGATTTATGGGCATTTGGGCTAAAATTTGGCTTCTTAGGGTTTTGGCATGTTTTAAAGTGACTGGTGTGGTTCGATCGAGCATCCAAAATGTGGGAGATGGGCCAAAGAAGGGACCGAGCAAAAATCGAGTGCTAACAATCGTGTATAAACCGATCAAAACTGAAACGACCCAATTATAGTCACATACATATACATGTGTGAACCCTTAGCCCACTACAAAAAAAAAAAGACTTTTAGAGGCAGTTTTCGCAACAACCGGCAAACTATCGCTAAAAGAACTGTCGCTAGACGTTCTAGCAGTAGTTTTCGCGACTGTCGCTAAAAACTACTTTTAGCGGCGACTATTGCTAAAGGTTGTTTTCCAAATGACCTATTTATATTTAATTTTCTTCAAATTACCTGTTTTCTCTATATATTCATTTAAACTGAAATAAAATACAAAAGATGAAAAAGCATCAATTACAATAAATTTTAAAAAGACATTCTCCATTCAAACAATTTGAATCACAAATACATCGTATTTTCAATTTGATAATTTCTTGGTTTGTACAAAAATTCAATAGGGTCTGAACCAAAGAGTTTGTGACTGCTACACATTCCACTCTTTTGCTTTTGGAAGCCCGGATTTGATCTGCAAGTGAAACTTTTCTTCGCACTTTCTCTCTTCTTATAAACTCAAGATCCATATATTCTTATGAGGGAAAGAAAGTCTTGTGTACTCCTGCCTGCCTAATGCCATCTTCCTGAATTTCATGTCCTCATTGTACCGTATTGTGACATAATCTGAGCTCCCATAGGACTTGATGTCACGGAGGAAGCCTGTCATTTGCTTCTATTGCTGCAACACTACTTTGATCAGGATGCAAGTATTTTTCATATGTTACTTTCAATGGTCCCCTTGCAACAGCCTTCTGGATTTTCAAAATCATATATGCACATTCTCTGCATATGAAGCCCAAACAAATGCAATTCAATCTTTACAAGGAAAACTTGTAGATTCTAGTTCCAGGGAAATTGGCAAAAGAAACCCTTACTTCTTGAGCAGTTGAAAGCTGCAAAGCATCATTGCACGATAGAAACCTCATAGACATCACCCGGTAAACGGGAAAACCAAGATAGCTGCCAACTTCCTTACGAGAAGTAATTATAAGAATGTAAGTTCCTATACAAAAATTAAGAATCAATTATTTATCTGCCAGCCTTTAGAATAAATGGTAAAAGCATTGAGTCTCCAAGAAATTTGGCTGGCTCAAACTCAAAGACCAGAATCTAGAAGAGAAAATAATGTTTTGAACTATATATGAATAATGGAATACATATCAAGGGAATCCAATAAGGCTAACAATCTTTTATCTAAGCTTTTCAATGATGTAAATGAATCTTTTTTGTTTACTTTGGGCTTCCCGGATGAGCCCTCCCAAAGTACTACAGATATTGCCTGACATTATAGGTATTCCCAGTGGTAGATCTATATGACCCTTCTTCATGTGAATAAAGTTTTCAGCTTTGCCCCAAAAAACAAAAGACTCAAGAATAGGGACCCAAGTTTGTGGCTCAATGGATAAGTGTTATTTTATCAATATCCACATACCACAAGTGTAAGGTCTTATATATGGAATTTATGAGGGATCTTTCCATCAGGATCTTTTGCATGATTTCCATCAGGAATTCTTGCAAGCATAAATCTGAGGTTCTTGGGCCATAGACACGTTGACGATGCAATGGCTTCTGAACCTTGGCATAGAAGGAGGCACTATCAGGCAACAACAAACAGCCCCTTCTCGCCCTCCCTAGGCTGCAATCTGGATCAGCATTAGCTTGGTTATGCCAATAAATCAACTGCCCCAAACAATAATTTTCACCATATGTCTTGCAATACTCCTGGAAACCTGACCCCAACTTATCAGTATACTTGGGGCCCAAGTCTAGAGGACTAATGTATACAGGAGGAGAAGTTACAGTCCTGTATGCATGCATGTGAAGAACTCTTTTTAGTCAAAGCAAAGAAAATCACCTCCATATTAATCAAATACAGGAGAACACTGCTACGAAATTTCAACTAACCCAAACTCTAAAATAATATTTTGTATAAGCATAAAGGTGGATCAAATCAGCAGCTGCATCATGCCGACACTTGTATGTACGAACCTCATCCTTCAACCTTGTAAAAGAAGGGGGGTGGGAAGTAATGAGTGACAATCATAAATCATTATAAACATCGGCTGTAAGAGACAGTAAACCACACTGCTTACCATAATAAAGATTTCTGCAGTTCTCTCTGGAGATCTACAGATCCAGAAGGGTCATGCTCTCAAATCTTCTCTTTTAAGTCATCTAGCAAGCCCTCTTCCATATGAGGAGCCATGCACCGGACTAACTCTTCAACAAGTGATCCTTCCCCTTTCCATAGGACTGAAACTACTGCTTCAGGACTAAGCTTCTCCAGTGGGGGTGGAGCTTTATTT